AGCTTCTTATACTGTCCAGTAACCAGAGACCATTCCTCTTGCAACTCCAAAAAGATAAACATTTTTCAGAAGCATCAGGGACCCTTAGTGGCATATGATTTATCTCACAGGAGGCCAAAGAGGAGATATCCTGCACAAATTGTTCATTAGTGTTGTGAGTTTTGTATTGCTATTGTTCATTTGTATTGAAAGTTTCTAACCCTGTTAGCTTCCCAGACTTGCAGTTGCAAGATTGGTGGCCATATAGAATGAATGAATGAATGAATGAATGAATGAATGAATGAATGAATGAATGAATGAATGACTATAGAATCAGTACACTTTTGACATAGAATATATTGCGCTGAAAAGATTTAAAAGGTACTTGATTGTGAATCGAAATATAGTTTATGGGAGAGTAAAATGTAAGGCAAAAGAGTAAAAAGAAGGCAAAAAAAGGAGGTGGTTTCATTAGTTCACTGTATATCCAAGCAGAACACTGTGAATATGATGTTCTATATGATAAACTGATCAGAGACTAGAACGTGATGGGGATTAGAGACCTCAGACCTCAAACTCTAGAAAGTCTTCATTTAAATAAGAGCCTAGTGCTAAAAGAAGCAGCCATGACAGTGCACCAACCTAAGAGTATTAAGAAGAGCAGTTATTTATTTATTTATCCAGACCCAGGTAGAGAGGGTACAGATGCATAAGAAAGAAAAGCCACCCATCTCAATTACAGAGAAAGGATGTCAGTGATGCAAGCAGAAGAGATGGAGAAAAGAAGCCCGTTTCCATTTCAGGGGAAAAAAAAAAGCATGTTGAAGTAGTACATTTAATAGTACTTTATTCAATGTGTGGTATGTCTGTATTACATACATGCCATTAGTTTAAACTGCATGTTTTTTAAAAGTAACCCATGCTGGATATCATGATTCATCCAATTTAAAATATTTTATGCCTTATTGGTCACAATTGGAGTATTAAATATGTGCTTAAATCTCTCCCAGTGAAATCAATGAGGCTGAAAACTTAATGGACTTGGTGTCAGTATGCATTATGGTAGGCCCAAGCAACCGATACTGAACTTCCTGTTTAATAACAACAACATTTTATGCTCTGGCATTGCACAGAATTTCAGACCAGATAGTTGCTGCTATTACCATCTCAAATGCCTTGGAGTCCTCCATGTTACATTAGGGATCAGGCCCAAAGGCATCATAGATAGTGAAAACAGTGGTGGCGGTGACGGATGCTCCTAGACCTTCTTCATAATACTAGACTAGGGGAGGATTGAGTAGCCTAAAATATATTATTATGTATTTTTTGTATCATCCCCTGTTCTGCCTCCTTCATCCCCCTCTATCCCTTGATAAGGAGACATCTGAAGCCCTCCCCCACTATCATTTTACCCACTATGGCTGCAGCCTTGATGATTAACTCTGAATGAATTGGGCTTCACCTACTTATTATATTTTCTTTTTTCATTTACATTAAATAAATTTATAATACCACTTTTGAGTCACTAGAAATCAGGCTACTACAAAACCTGCACAATCTAAAGTGGACATTCGCTGTTTTCACCTTTGTCTTGAATAACACACCTGCTACAATAATTTTAAAAAGAGAGAGAGAGAGTTATTGTTTTTCTTCCACTTTTATTAAAATACAAGGAGAAAAAAACAGTTCTATAAAGTACATGGTCCACACAGCACCAATATTGTAACATGTTTTTGCTCATTCTTCTACAGAGAGTATTTATGACATTTAAGAATAAAACATGCATACTCATAAACAAATGTTCTCCACCATATTGACTCAGGACTCATATTAAATGGATCTCAAATACATCCCAATTTCTAAAGCCAGAGATAGAAAAAGAAAAGAGAAATGCCAGTATAGAAGCATCTGATCACCAACTGAGCATGGTACTCTTTTGTTAGTGGTCTTCATGAAAACACCAGCATCTCTGCTTCATCCAAACTTCTCATCTTTGCAGACCAAGTCTTGGGTCCAGCCAAAGTTTGGTCAATATGGGTTCTGAGTTGAGTATGGTATAGAAGTGAATATGACTGGCCTGTATTCCCTACCTGATATGTCTCTTATTGCTTTGGTTATATTATTGAATGCAGGTTTTAAAGATCTAAAGCCAACATCTGTCAACACAAAAGATCACACAGAACACCAAATAAGCTCACAAAAGTATACTTTACCATAAACCCTTCATATAAGTGATCTCACCTTAAGCCTTCTCACACATTTATAGTATATTTTACTTTTAAAAAACAGTATGGATCTGATTCGCTGATGTGCCTTGTCATAAGTGTAAAATATAAGCAAACTATACTGCTATTCTAATGTTAGGATGCATGAAATCTGTTTTTCACAGAGCTCAAAATATAAGACAAAACAGAGCTAGTGTCCTAAGTGGCATCTAAGACTGATCGCTCCATTGTGTAGAATGGTTTGGATCTGGCACTGATCATACTTGATACCAAGTCAGACTGTTCTAATAAGACTGAGGCCTCATCCACACATCTTCCTTGCCTCTACACTAAGATGGCCTGCTAACTGTATGTTGAGGACATGTTCTCACAATGGAATCTCCATCTTGGTACCAGCCTGAGACTGAAGCAGGCTGAAACTGGATCAGTGATTTGGCAGAAAAGTGATGTTTTCCACTGGAAAATGCAATGCAATCTCCCAAGTGAGTATTCTGATTTTTACAGGAGGAGCCTGAGAGAAGTTGACAACTTTCATGGCTCCAATAGGTCCACTACAGGACTGTCCTGTCTCATCCAAGCACAAGGCTTTGTGCTTCCATGGCCATGTCTACTGTGGCTGCTGGAGAGAACAGAACCTTCCATCAGCCCACATTTTCTTTTTTCAGCTTGGATTGGAATAGTGACCTGGAAGGCATTCCAGAAGGTTGATGTTCCTACCTGTAATCTCCACTTGCTAGAGAGGAAAAAATCCTAAGGAGACAGGGATCCTTTCACCTTCCCTGCTCCTCTCCTCTTTCCTGTGCCTGCTCTTATCTCCATGTTTTCCCCACAGCAGCCTCCACAGCCATATGTGAGGGTAGCATCTCGTTTTGGAGGTATGGGGACAGTGATTTTTGCAAAGCAGCATGTTTTCCTCCTGTCTTGAGGCCAGAGGAAAATACATCACTGAGGGTGGGAAAAGACCTAAATCCCCTTGGATTACACTGACCTTTTAAAGATTGGCCAGGCTCAGTGCATACTTTGAGTGCAAACTTGTAGCTTTGCATGAATTTTTTCAAGTTATTGCTTTTGCCTGATTCTCAACATAGAAGAGCTGAAAAGTATATTCCCTGACAATGAATTCTTCCAAAATACAAGCAGCATTCATATCTCAGAGTTACCTTTTTTAATGAGATGAAGGTAAATCCCATACGGATCTCTGGGAGGTTCTTTAAATAATGAAATGAAATGTAGGAAATCCATTCTATACATATCCTGCTTATGAATATGTTGTTTCAGAAACATTTAAAATGTACATCTAAAGCTTGATGGCTGTTTATTTTATTTTAAAGTCCTGATAATCCAAGAGATGCTATTTTCAATGTGAATCTAAAACTGCAGTATTTCTGTCCTTTATGGTCAGAAATTGCCTATAAATTCCAAAACCATTTCTTGCAAGACAATGAAATAATATTGTTTTACAAGATCAACTCTGAATAAAATGGAGGGAACTATAATTAGGATGTCACAAAAATTAAAATGTATTCTCCTTCACTGACAGTTTTGTCTGGGATAGAAATATATTCTTCTCTTGATCTTTTTCCTTTTCTTTTTCAGAGGGGAGGGAAGAAGAGGAAGTGCTAGGACAAATGTATCTTTTTCACGATTATTGTGCTGATTGATGGACCATGTAAAATTGCTGTATGACTTTAAATGTGCCAGATTGTGTTAAAGGTTAGTCATTTTCAGTCCGTCCTGTGAGTTAAGGCATGTTTCAGCCATCAAACAAAATGTTTTGGTCTTTCTCTCTTAGAGATATAAAAGAGAAATAAAGTGCGGAGGTGGAGGAAGGTTTGACAAAAATAGTTTTGCAATGCTAAAAAAAAAAAAAATCCATGCAACAGAAAATGAATATGAAGAAGAGCATTACAAAGTAAACCAATTTTCGTCTCCATCCAAAATTGTGTTTTTGTTTTGCTTTGCTTATTTGAATTCCATCCCACTTTTGAAAAGAAAGCATTTATGAAAACAAGAAATGGAATAATTTGAATAATTATTCAAAACATGGAATGACTTAAGTGAAAAATAAAAAGGTTATGATGGCATAAATCAGTGGAAAAATAAGATGTGCACTAAATGTCTCCTTTTCCTTAAAAAGGTGAAAATGTTCTATAAACTAGTTAATTTAGATGTAATCAAATAAATAATTGTGGTTTTTACAGACTGCTGTATCAATTGATCTGAGAAGGTGCTTGTCATTTTGAGATGTGTAAGTGCAAGGTCAATGAACACAGCAAACATGCATAGAATGGGATTCTAGAAGCAACCAGGAGTCTTATGGCACCTTGAAGACTAACAAATAAAATGGCTGGTGTGGGTCTTCCGGGCTGTGTGGCCGTGTTCTTGAAGTTTTGTTTCCTA